CATGATAGCCGTTTTCAGGTATCTAAAAGGGTGTCATAAGGAGGAGGGGGAAAAATTGTTCATCTTGGCCTCTGAGGATAGAACAAGAAGCAATGGGCTTAAACTGCAGCAAGGGAGGTTTAGGTTGGACATTAGGAAAAAGTTCCTAACTGTCAGGGTGGTCAAACACTGGAATAAATTGCCCAGGGAGGTTGTGGAATCTCCATCTCTGGAGATATTTAAGAATAGGTTAGATAAATGTCTATCAGGGATGGTCTAGACAGTATTTGGTCCTGCCATGAGGGCAGGGGACTGGACTCGATGACCTCTCGAGGTCCCTTCCAGTCCTAGTATTCTATGATTCTATGAAAGAAGAGCAAAACTTTCAAGAAACCTAAACTATGATTTTTTCACTCCCCCTTCAGCTGGCTGTGGGGGTCTTGGTAAATAATATGGAGATATATCTCTCTCATAGAACTGGAAGGGACTTCAAGTTCTTTACAGCAGGACCAAGTACCATCCCTGTGAGATTTGCCCCAGGTCCCTAAACAGCTCCCTCAAGGATTGAGCCCACAACCCTGGGTTTAGCAGACCAATGCTCAAACCACAGCACTATCCCTCCCCCTGTTAAGAGAGTCACCAGAGTAAAAAATGCACCAATTTTCACGCAACAATTTTCAAGCAAAATTGAAAGAAAATTTTAGTTTTTTGTAATTTCCTATTTTCCTATTAAATGTCATAACATCGCTTGGATGAAAATCACTCCACCTCAGCGACATGCAATACTTTGGGTTTCTCGTGCTTTTGATTTGCAAATGTCCTAAATCCCAACATTTCTAGGTTGCAAAATGGCTGAGATGGACATGTTTGGGTGGTTATTTTGCACAGCTCTGCCCTTTACCCAGTTCTGTCATGGGAAAAAAAAATGCCATTCATTTGAAATCCAACCAAGGTTGAAAATGTAACATTTATGACTGATGTGCAATCACAGGTCAAAATGTTGAGCTGAGTTTATAGCTATATAGCTCTCAAGTATTATATCTATAGAGACATAGCTCCGTGGTCATTCTTTCATCTTGGCTCACTACGGTATGGAACAATTTCCCTGTATCTGCCAAGCAAGCACATCATATTTTCTATCTTCTTCCATGAAAGTGAAAATTAGAGGTGCTAGTCATGGATTACATGTAGTTTGCTCTGATGGAGAGAAGTCAGCCCATTATCTGTACTGTGCATTTCTGTTGGTTGTGATTCTTTTTTAAAATGTTTAATACTTTGGGGGTTCATGCAGATGGGATACATAATATCATTAGGAGCTCAGTGAAGCATGAATTCATGACTAGGGATGTGAATGATTAACTGGTTAACAGGGGCTGTCATGGGCAGGGGCACTCCAGCCTCATTGGATCAGCTTCCCACCCATTGCGGGGGTGCTTCTGCAGCCCATCCAGGCTGGAGTGCCCCCCCCCCCCCCTTTCCCCTTTAATCACTTACCAGTTAAATGGGATTTTATATCCCTATTTGTGACCGTGGAAGAGGGACTCACAAGGACAATGTTTCAAGTTTCTATGAAAGGTGACAAGTGCTTTGTTTTTATTTTTCATTAAATGTATCATAGTATTCTGGCACCTTCGTCATAGATCGGGGCTTCATTGTTGTTCACTTTGTGGCATCAGGGGGAGGCTAGACTTAAGTGCTGACAGAAGGAATAAAGGTAAAGGCTCAGAACATCACATCCTCTCAAAAGGGAGGCATCTCGAAGGGAGGAAATCTCATTGTTCCATTCAGGGTATGTCTACACTACAGAGTCTTTTCGGAAAAGCAGCTCTTTTCCCCAAAAAATTTCATTTATGTCCACACCGTAATCGTGTTCTTTCAAAAGAAAATCAAAAGAACTGAGGAGGTTTTCCAGCATTGGTAATCTTCTGTCTACAAGGAAGAAGCCTTTTTCTGAAAGAGCTCTATCGGCAAAAGGTGTGTGTGGATGGGGAAGAGGGTTTTCTTTTGAAAGAAGAGACCTCCAGGAAATAACACAGGTGCCCTGGTGGCCGCTCAGTCCAAAGAAATCACAACTTTATAGTTCCTGTCTCCTGGCACCTTTTAAAGCTGCAGGCACTGGGACAAGCTGTATGGCAGGAAGCCGGCCTGAGAGCAGCACCCTGACCATGAGGCTCTCCCTGCCTCAGGCATTGCTACCCCTGGCTCAGCCTAAAGCCTCCCACCCCACACCCGAGAGCCACCCGGCCCTCACAGGGAGCAGTCCAAGGGGTCCCAGGACTCCCCCAGGGGGACCAAGTGGCAGGGACCCTCCCGGTCTGGAGTGGAGATCCTGCCCCTCCTTGAGCTGTGGGGTGAGGAGGAGACATTGCAGGATCTCCGCTCCAAGTGGCAGAACACCGATATTTTTGAGTGCATGGCTGAGTCCCTGACAGAGCGCAGACATCCACTCCGAACCTTGGAATAGATCTGGAGTAAGGTCAAAGAGCTCCGGCAGTGATACATGAGGGCCAGAGAGCACAGCTCATGCTCCGGGTCAGGACCCCACACCTGCCCCTATTACCAGGAGCTGCACAAACTCCTGGGGGGTGGGAAAGCCATTTCCCCACCTATCGTCATGGACTCCAGTCTTGACATGCCTGTTGTAACCCAAGAGGAGGAGGAGGCAGAAGACACGGCCACTGCCATGCTGTCATTAGAGCTAGTTCCTGTGAGCGTGGATGTCTCTCAGGCCTCGTCTGATGTTGGGAGGGATCTGCTGGCAAGTGCTCTCAGTTTGTCACTCACTCAGGGTGGGGGAGGAGGGTGCAGAGTGGGAGGGGTGCGAGCATCGCTTGGCCTCCTCGGTCTGGACACATGCACACAGAACCATGTGCAAAGTTAGTGTGTGCTACATGGACTCAGAAAGCAGCCCTTACGCACAGCTTGGATGCTGCTACCAGGCCCCCCACATACACACACAAACAGGGCTGGCCTGGGGAGGCGGGGAAGCAGACAGCATGATCCCCTGGGCACCTCAGGACCCCTGCGAGGCATGGCCTGCTGTGCAGCCCACACATGGCCTTGCTCCTGGGACATCTCCCTCCTCTGCCCCCAGGATTATTGGTTGCTGCTCACAGAGGAGGGCACAGCCTCAGGGACAGTGTCTGCATGGATGACTGACTGCCTCTCCCTCTTTGTGTTCTCCAAAGCTGGACCAATCGGGACTGAGGAGTGAGCCACACCACCTGAGCCAGCCACCAGAGTCCAGGGGTCCTGAAAGTCCACCAAGCTCCAGGAAGACCTCATGAGGCAGCATGTCAACTTCTTTCGCAACATGCAGCAGACCCTGGCACAGAAGATCCAGGAGGACGCAGAGTGGAGGAACTGCACCTGGGACCAGCTCATGCAGTGGTGCAATAGCATGTGTGCCATCATGCGTGATATGATGGCACATGCAGATGCTATTGCTGCTCCTGCTTACCATCCTCCTGCCCCCTCCCCACTATGCCCATTCCCCCTCGCCCTGCCCCCCCAAGCAATGCCTCTTCTGCTTCCCCAAACAATGCCCATGCCCCCTCCCTAAGTGAGGCCTATGCCCTCTCTTTTTCCCCCTCCCTGCCATCCCTGACCTTGCTCCAGCCCCCCTGTGTACTCCCTCTGTGGTCCCAGAACCCACCCCAAGTCCGATGAGGTCTCCGAGCTCCAATTGGCACATCCAGCTAGTCCCAACACCACTCTAAGCGCCCCCTCCAGGTTTTGAGCCCTCTTCTCCAGCTTTTCTTTAATGAAAGATCAATACACGGTTCATTTTGTTTAAAACCAAACAGGTGTCTTTATTGAGAGGTCAAGGAAGGGGTGAAGGGAGGGGTTGTGGTGGGAAAGGGATATTGGAGCAAGCCAGAGGCCCCTAGGATGGAGGCCTGGGGAGAGTTACTGGGGTGCTTGAGAGAAACTCTCCCTCAGAGCCTCCCAGATGCATACCCCAGCCTGATGGGCCTGGCGGATGGCAGCTGTCCACAGCTGCATGAAGGGTCTCCCCTGATGGCCAGCCTCTGCCCCCCACCTGGGAGGAAAGCCTCCCCCTTCCTCTCTACCATGTTGTGGAGGACATAGCATGTCAATACCACGTTGGGTGGGTCAGGAGGCACCTGAACCATGCCTTGAGGCAGGCAAAGGCACACTCCACCTGGATCCTGGCCCGGTTCAGGTGGGCATTAAATTGGTCTCTGCTGGGGTCCAGGAGGCCTGTATAAGATTTCATTATCCATGGCATCAGGGTGTAGGTCGCGTCCCCCATGATGCCCAATGGCATCTGCACATCTCCCATTGCAAAATCCCTTTGGGGGAAGAATGTGCCCACCTCCAGCTTTCCATAGAAGCTCGAGTTGCGAAAAATCCGGGCATCGTGTGCCCTGCCCAACCACCCAACAAAAATGTCCATGAACTGTCCACAGTAGTCGACCAGGGCCATCAGCACCATAGAAAAGTAGCCCTTGCAATTGATGTACTGGGCTGCTCTATGTTGAGGTGCACGGATTGGGATGTGGGTCCCATCAATTGCTCCCCCTCAGTTTGGGAACCCCAGGGCAGCAAATCGGGCCATGATCAGGTCCAGGTCGCCCAGGCAGATGACCCTCCACAGCAGGATTGAATTGATGGCCCTCACAACCTACAGAAGGAAACAAACAAACACACAAAGCAGAGCATGAGAGAGGGTGTGCCTGAGTCCTTGGGAGGTGCTCCCCCTCCTCCCAACCCCTCCCCCCCAAACACCCCAGGAGCCACCCCCATGAGGCTGCCCCAGCCCTGTTAAAAGTTTTCCATTAAAAGCATTTTTGGAGAAGCGCGTCTAGATTGGCAGGGCACCTTTTCGCCAAACCCCCACACACACCCACTCCCTCCACTACCTGTTTCCAAGGGTCCCTCTTTTCCAGGACTCCCCCCCTCCCACACACACACACAGGGACTGCAGCCTGAGAGTGCCTTACCTACATGAGGAGGGCCCCGACGGTGGAATTCCCCACGCTGAACTGGTTGCCTACCAACTGGCAGCTGTCTGGGGTGGCAAGCTTCCACATGGCGATTGCGACCCGCTTCTCCAGGGGGATGATGGGCCGCAGGTGGGTGTCACATCGGCGGGGGGCAGGGGCAAGCCAGGCACACAGCTCCAAAAAGGTGGCCTTCCATATGCAGAAGTTTTGGAGTTTTGGAGTGCTGGTTATCCCATAACTCCATAACCAGCCAGTCCCACCTGTCCGAACTTGTGTCCAGCCTCCAGACTTGCCTCTCCACAGTGGGTTGCAGTTGCAAGGGAGTTGCTCCTGCACCCAGGGAGAGGGTCCCTAGAATGAGCTTGGGGTCAAGCTAGATCAGATCCAGGAAGGCAGCTGACACAAAGTGCTGCAGAAACTGCAGCATGGTCATGGGGAGCCATCGTATGCCATGGGGCAGCTCCAGCTCCATGGCACAAAGGAAAAAGCTGTGGCATCCAAAAAAGCTGGGCAACTACAGCATACGCTGTGAGAGCTTTGCTTTCCCTCAAAGTGGTAGGCAAGCACGCAGCAGAAGCAGAGAAATGGCTGTCCGGGGAGACGGTACCTTTAAGCGTGTGTCTCTGCTAGGCTCTGGCACCTGCACCCGGAAGCAACTGGTGACCTAAAGAACTGCCTGAACTGGTTCCGGATGGCCTTTTACGCGAGATCTTTCTGGATGCTATCTTTCGAAAAAGCAGATCATTTTTTTGATCCTCTTAGGCAGTGTGGATGTGCTCTTTCAGAAGAAGTTTTTCCAGGAGATCTCTTCCAGAAAAGCTTCTTCCAAAATAAGCCTGCAGTTTAGACATAGCCTCCAGATGCAAACCCAGAGATGACCATAGAGCCTGCCCTCTAACTCAGCTGTTCCCTGGAAGGCCAGGACCACCTGCACAGATGTTTTGTGCCTCTACACTAGCGTTAGCTCCCAGCATTCCCCAAGAGCTCCGTGACAGGGTGGCTTCTTTGGAGTAGTGCTGTTTGGACATCTTCCCCACCCCTCAGTCTTGTGGGAGATGCACAGACAAGATAATACGGTCTCAGTATTATCTGCAATTTCAATAGAACCAGGAGGAGAACACTTTGGATCCTGACAGGCCTTCCCCAGCCTCTGTTTTCTCTGGGTATGTCTACACTACAAAGTTAGTTCGAACTAACGGACGTTAGTTCGAACTAACTTTCCTAGGCGCTACACTAGCGCTCCGTTAGTTCGAACTTAATTCGAACTAACGGAGCGCTTAGTTCGAACTAGGTAAACCTCATTTTACGAGGA